GCTTAAAGAAAATATTTGCTTTATTGGTGTTGGTTTACTCTTAAAACAGATTGAGAAGATGATATTTTTTGGAACGAATTTCCGAGACCAGTTTGTTCCCAAAACAAATTTGAAAAGGTATGACGGAAATACGGCCCAAAATATATAAATCGAAATATTTCCTTGTCATACTGACCTATCATCGGTATTCAAATTTCATCAAACGCCTATCTACTATCCAAATACATATATATAATCATTTCTGGTCCTATTTTATCATGAAATTATTTTGATTTTCTTTTTCAAATGCAAAGCCTTTTGCCGTAAAAAATGTACTCAAAGTATAAGATCACATATGAAAATAAAACAAAGAAAGCAATCCGTGATGTAACCATAAATGCCATATTCATATTAACAATAAACATATGAGTTAGTACATACATACTTATGTATGTAATTATGTCATAAATAATGCATACATATACTGCGCATAAAATCGCGGCGCGTGACATTGACATAGCCGTAGTTAGTCAAAAGATTTTTTGTATCCTAATTATTAATTAGGCTCTTGAAGTAGTATATTTTCTTAGTGTATGGATGTAGCTCTCTTCACCTTAACAAAAATATCTTATAAAAGAGTTAGAACACTCAAAGAGATAGAAAAAAAATCTTCAACGTTATTCATGACAGATAGTTATCAAGCTTGCTAAGTGAGTCATTTCAGCAAACAAGCTTGTTAAAAGTTGCTATCTAAATCAATAATCTGCAGATGTTATCACCAAAACAAACCTCGCACAATGTTGGGCATAACGGTAAGCTGCTCTAGCCGACATAGATAAATAAATATACGTATACATATGTACATATGTATTTGGCATATTTCTACTTATTTATTATACATATTTATATGTATGTACATTGTCTACATGAATATTCCTTAAGTTGGGCTATGCTTTAGCGGGTCGCATTAGAAGCCTATAAATAAAATTTGTCTGTGATTCGATTACGGCGTTCAATATTAAATTACGCTGTCGGCAGGATTCCCTTCCCAGGTTACATTTTCTATGATGCCTTGGCTAATACTTCACAGTTTTTATTTAATGTCTTAAGTTTGGACATGTTTTCTTTTTTAAATAACTACATAAAATAGAAGTACGTACGTATGTATGTTCGTAGTTGAAAATATGCCTGCGACATATTTGTGCTAACTTATTTATGCATTGCACAGTGTTTGGCGCAGAGTGAAAAATTCACGAAATATTGAAAACTTACAGCTTAGAAGATAGGAACACGCTTTTTTTAGAGAGAGATAATGCTCTTCCTCTTCAAAAATATTTTCAAAATAATTCGTTGAGTTATATCAGGTCAAAGTCAAAATTTTGTCGAATTTTTTCGGTTAAAAAAATCCATCTTAAAAATATTTTAACAATTTTAAAATTTTCGAAGATGTCTTGATTTGGTACGTTCCATTGTGCGATTTTGTTTTGCGTGTGAATGTTTCAACGCATATCCAGACAAGGCAACATAAATGTCAACAGCGCTTGTTTGTTTGATGTCATAAGCTGTGGCAGCTAATTTAAATAATGATTTTGCAAATCTGATAAAATTCACTTAGACAATGCCTACGTTCTTGTTGAGGGGATTCCGAACACTACACTACTACACACACATACATATAAAATTTGTTTGTTATTTTTTTATAAAAATATGGCTCATGCATTAACAACAACCATATATATAACTCACACATTCAAACTTTATACAGAACTTAGAAAAATTTCCTAAATTTTTATCTAAATTTCGAGCCTTTTAACCAGAATTTTTATAAAAATTTTTTATATGCAATTAACAGGCTTATAAAATTTTAGTAAAATAAGTGAATGTTTTGAGCGGCTTAAAAGTCGCTTTGATTTTTAATAATTTTTTTTTTGCTGACGGCTTTTGCGGTTATTTTTCATATAAAGAACGAAATTTAGGAAAACTGGCGTTGACATTTTTTTTCGCAAACGGTATTGCGCATATTCTTCCACGAAAAATTTATATTTATATGGAAAAAAGTGCAAAACGCGGTCAACAAAAAAAAAATTATTAAAAATCAGAAAAATTTTTTTAATACGGTTAAAAAGCTCGAAATTTAGATAAAATTTTGTGGAATTTTTTTTTATTCTGTATAAAGGGCGAAAGTGTAAGTTATATAGCTCTAAATAGAGCATGAGCAATATTTTTATTAAAAAATAATAAAAAAAATTTTGCTTAAAAAACATTATAAATATTAAAACCAAAACTCCATTCATCCACTTTTGATCGCCAGTGTATGTATGTGTGTAGGTAAATACGCATTATTATGTCGGAATAAAAGAAACCATCCGAAAATTTAACCCACTGAAAAAGTAGTTCCTTAAGCTATAGTACCTACCAGGTTGACCGAGCTTTGCTCTGAGTGCATATATTTTTTAAAGTTTTCAAGGTTTGGATATCAAATACTGGTCATTTAGATAGCTTAAAATAATATTTTGGAAATAAATTAAAAAAAAAAATGGATTATGATATCTATAAAGTAAGTAATTTTCTTACTTTAAAATTTAGGTGGCAACCCTATTTAGCAATACGCTGCAATGAGTAGTACGTACCTTGAGCGTATACGTTCTATGTATACATACAAAAAAATGCTGATTGAAACAAACAAAATAAAAATTTGTTTAACATAGAAGCGTGGCAACCCTGACCAAAATATTTTTTGCACCAAAGTTACCTTTCATAATACCTTTCATAATACCTTTCGTTTGATATCCATATTTCGATGTTTTAGTTAAATTGTGTAGAATCGAAATAAGTGGCAGCCTTACACTAATATCCTAATGTATAACACTTAGTATATAAGGAAAGCATTGTTTAAGAACCTTCTCTTGCAATCCATGAGTAGTAATATTGTACCTTTATTTTCTAAACAAAACAATAAATAAATATGCAATTCAAAATAGGTGGTAACCCTTTAAGAAATATTTTTGAATTAGGTACCTTTAAAATAACTTCCATTTGATACCCATATTTTTGGCGACGCAGACAAATTTTAAAGTTTTAAATGTAGCACAGTCCTGTTTAAGTAAAAATTAATGTATTTATGTACCTGTCTAAAATTGTACAATTGCCTTCTTAACCTAAAGCGCATTCCTCGGCGAGCTAGACATTTGCGCTGGAATTTCAGAATAAATTCTACCACTTTTTCATTCTTAAGGCTTTCACAGAAATTGTTACATGGCCCTCAAAGTCCTGTTATTATTCTCATGAAGAGCCGCATATTCATTCAAAGAGCTTTCATCAGATTCCACAAGTCATGTCTCTTATTTTTGCCTTGTACACCTATGTATTAACCAAAACACCGCTATGTGTCGAACGAAGTACTCGTTTGTACAGGAAATTAAATTTTTTATAAGGTAGCCAGTGGCTTCTTCAGGGTTATAAACAAAAGTATACCAGCATCTTCGTAAGCTTTGATCGCAAGTTGAAAATCTACAGCGAAGAAGGTAAATACTTACCTATTTTACAGCTATGCTAATTGTATTGATATGAACTCGAAAACACTTCAGCAGGCTGGTAGTCTGTAACCATTACACAAAACACAAAATCAAGTTTTAAAATCCGTTTAAGATACGTCTAAGAAGACCTGAATGTCTTAATCAGTTTTCCAGTTTCTCATATAGCAACTAATATCGTTCTCCTTGAACTGAAAGTCTCGGACAGTGTTTTAGGCAACTATATCTAAGATTTAAGCATGCAACTTGCACATCAGCCGCAGTCTAATACGACATAGTAACCGAAGAGCCAATGTAACCGATATGGATTGTGTCTTTAAAAAGCTTCTAATAAAATCCAACAATCCACATCACAAATCGGAGGAGAAGTTCGGCCAAACACTTAGCAAAAATTGAAAGCGCCAAATACTTATTTTTTTTTATTTTTTAGTAGAAGAACCTGGCCTGTTCAATGGCTCCGCACCGCTGTCCTGTACGCATTGCGGTCAGAGTGTACCCACTCGGAAATTAGTGCACTCGAAGGAGACCAACTGAGACCACAAAATGGTTCCGTTCCTACAAAAGTCAGTTAAAAATCTTCATTGCCTTCGATCAACAAAGCGTTACTGCGTTTCTAGCTGTCAAAATCTCAAGTCAAGTCAAAGCAGTCTTTAACATACTTGTCGTTTATCGTCCTGTTATCGAGAGCCCGAATGGCTGTTGGTTTATCTCAAAAAATATTTAAAATCCCGCGCTTTAAATCCTTTTGATCATTTAATCGGGCGCAGTCGAAGATTACCAATACTTCATCCATCTGCCCATTGGAATTGCCAGTTTGGAACTAGTGTTATAAATACCTCAAGGTGTTTCCTTTTTGATTATTGCTGTTTTCGATAGGGTGGGTGTATAATTTATTTGATAAGGGATGAAGGAAACTTGTTTCAAAATACATCGCCTGTACCTGCCTTATCCTCCATCCGAGAGCCGTCTGTGCTCCAATGCGCGTATCTAAAGTCAAGAGCAGGGAGTCCCTTTTGTCAAATATTCGGATTTTCACTGGGAAGAGGAGTACAAATTCGCATTGGTCCTGTGGCCGAAAGACGTGTCACTTTTGAGGCACTTGTTGGCACACTAGTTGTCATCCCACTCAAAGAGCTGCGCTTTAAACGCTTGACACAGTACTGCAAATTTTTTTTGTCAAGATAAGCTGAATATTTTTCTACTTAAAATTTCTAACGCAGAGGCGGCCTTCTTTCTTTCTCTCACAAGAGCAGCGAGCAAAGACTTGTTTAGCCCTTAAAAATAAGCTATAATCTAGAGTTTCTGATAAGACAATTTTTATGCTTTCTCAAAAATTCGTTTACTATTTTTTCATGTTCTAAAAGATAACTGCCTTTTTGTAATTCACCAATTAAACGCACTAATGTTCAATTATTCCTACAATTGCCTACCATTTCATGTACAATTCAACTCCGTCATTCCACAACCAAAACCATTCGGCACTTCCAGTTCAGAGGAAGAACGCAATATGGACGATAAATTGATGTGCGATGAAGTGCATTTGCGTACATTAAGCCAGTCGCCGGTGGCGCTGCAACGCCAACAACAACGCAGACTAAGCAACCACTGCACGCGTAGTACAGCAACAAAAACCCTAACACCAATACTGCGACGGCGTTGTTCAGGCGGAAATGCTGTAAGTAACAGTAATGAATGCGAGCAACCACGCCCCCCGCTGGCGCAGCACGAGATACTCGACGACGATGAACCCAAATGTCAGCGGGTGCGTGTGGACAAACCCACAAACATGTCGCTGAACCTCGATGTGACCGATAATGGCGATAGCGGCGTGGGTGGCGACGATGAAACTGAAGCAGATGCCGATGCCGATGCCGATGCAGATTGTGGTCTCACTAATCCGGCGGCACAAATTGCGGACGACAACGATGAAGCTGTGAAGGCTGATGTGAGCGATGAGGATGTAATTGACAGCAGCATATTGCGTGTGAAGGTAAGCAGATAGGAGTTGCGAGTTGTGAATTGATTAGCATAAGTGAATGTGAGACAACAAAACGCTCACTAACTTGGTGCGTAACTTACATTTTCATTTTCGTTCTCTGCCTTTTATGCAGCAATTTCCTGATATGTCGAAAATTCCACGACTTCCTGGCGATGGCGCACAAATGGATGATCAGCAGCCAGCCACTAACACCACAGCAATAGCATCGAATTTGCGACGACCCGCAGCGGTTGCCGGACGTGGTGTGGGTGGTGGTGGTGGTGGTGGTGGTGGTGGTGGTAAGAATACGCCGTGGCGTGTGCAATCCGTACGCATTGTTGAGCAGAGAATGAAGTTGGGGCCGAAACGACGCACCGAAAGCTGCAGCATATTTGGCAATACAAGCAATTATGGTAAGTTGTAATTGAAAAAAAATGCGGCGACACACACACGCACTCATACACAGTAATTCTGTTATTTAAAACAAACATTTGTATCTCTAATAATGTAATGTGCAATCTTTCCGTACGAGATTTTAATTGAAATTCTTCAATTTCCGGTCAACCCAATTCCTTGTGGCTTTCTACTCATTGATACCCCATGGCAACTCAATTATGAAGATTGTGAAGCAGATGCCTGCAGTCCAACAGCTCAGCCCCGACCACTGACCAATCAAACATACTCGGCATTCAAAAGCGCCAATGTCGTTAAGGGCATTCTCTGTCCATCTCTGACAAATTCATTTAAGCAGCATTCACTGGAGCGTTCTTATCTTTTGTATACGCATCGTCAACGACAAAAGTCACTGATCATCGTAAATCTGGTCGATTTTATGCTGAAAGTAACGCTTGCAACAATTTGGTTCGTTAAGGAAGGAAATGTCGAAGGCAAAGCGGTGAGTATTTTTGTACATACAAAAAGAAAAAATCGATACTGTTTTTCCATTGGAAAATTTATTATAGCATTTTAAGAATCCCGGCAAAATATTTACGACTACGATTTAGGTGCGTTCAACCTATTTCAAATAACTCCGAAAATCGAACTTTTTATTGTAAATAAAATTAGTTTTTAATTTTTTGTCTACATAAAAAATCACTTCAGATAATAGAAGACTTTAATCATAAAAGGTCTGCATAAAAATGTTTAAAAATAAAAAAAAATATCAACGGAATCAAAATAGTCAGATTTTTGGAGATATTTTCAAATCGTTCTAGCTCATGTAAATCTTAGTAATCATCCGAAAGATTTTGGCGCGATTCTTAGGAATTTGGTTTTAATTTATTTTTTGAATCACCTCAGCTTAAAAGGTCTGCATAAAAATGTTTAAAAATCTTTTTAAATGGTATCAAAATAATGAGATTTTTAGAGGTATTTCAAATCGTTTCAGCTCACGCATATCTTAATATTTTTTCGAGTTGTTTTAGCGGATATCTTAATATATAATATAAATTTTATAATTCCGTTGGAAAAACTGCATCATTTACATATATATAATATATATATATATAAAAGACTTATGTGGCCCAAACACTGTTAATTGATTGGTTTCTTTTTTTTTGTTACTTTTTGGCCTAATAACTATTTATATCAAAACATTTTATTGGGCTTAGTGCCATTTTTAGTGGAAATATAAAAAAAATATACCATATTTTCTTTGTTTCAAGCTAAAACACATATGATTTGCCGCCAAACGACCATTTGTTTGCTTTTAAAAGATTTAGTTTTGGAGGTTTTTTCTTTTGAATATGATTTCGTTCGGTACTTCTAAGATGCTTTTTCGTAATTAAGAAAAACTAAAAAAAAACTAAAAATTATACGTTCCACCTAATAGTGTTCGAACGCTGACCCTTCTGTAAGCCAAGAAAGCACTCAGTTACAGTTTCAACAAGTAATCAATGCGGTTGTTCCGCCTTGCCTGGTTATCAGCTTATCTGGTTAAAAATTATTATTCTGTAGCGTATTTTATTGTTGTACACAGAATAAAAAATATAACCACATAACCAAACAACCTGATAACTAGGCAAGTGTGAATAACCACAATGTGAATTATGTTTAAGTTTGTTTAAAAAATAATTTTTCTCTTCAAAAATTACAACCCGCTAACACGGAAAACCAACAATGACTCTGCATGGAAGAAATAATATTACTTTTTTATTAAGGCTCAGTTAGTCTAGACTTAATTTCCGTAACGTAACGTAATATATTGGTAAACGCAATATGTTTTTGTTCAGGAATTTTTTGATGTATGGCTTCTAGCGGGCAAAGTGGCCATCAGCTGAAAAGGAAAATACAAAAACCAAATATTTTCGCTTCTTACGTAAGTTAAGTCTAGACTAACTAGGCTACAAGTGTGTGTAAGGTAGCACATTGATACCAACAAAACAATAGTCGATCGTTAAATATCGTGCGCATGAAGAAGAAATTTACATATCGATGAACTATCCAAACTTTACAGTAAATCAGCACTGTAGGACAAACAATACTAAACTTCGTCAATCAATGTATCCGAACTCAAACGGGCCTATTTTTTGTGTTAAGCTGTTAAGCAATGAAGTTAAAATTTCCCTCAAAATAGACTGTTGTACGCGCACTAAACACTGATTTGGGAACCGTACACAGTGATAACAAATTCAACTCTTTTAAGGACTTAAGAACCTACATACGTATATTACGAAACTCTCTCCTATATCTCTTCTGAGGGAATAAATTAAATTAAACGCAAAACTAACAAATTATATTCTCGCATTATGCTGGGTTTTCTCGCTGCTCTTCTTTTGAAGCCGGCATCACCAGAAAACCAGACTAAAAAGCAAACAAGATAGTAAACTCATAAAATTGACTGCTTTGTTGACTGATGTTGATACCAGCGGATGTTGAAGTAAACTAAGCTTATTTACATACTTACAATATACATACATACATACATGCATAGGTACACCTATGCGTATACTTAATGACCGAATTATGCCTCGAAATTCTGTATTTGTGTATTTTTTTTCCAAACAGGGCAACGGTACTTACAACGCTCTAACGAATAGCGATTCAGAGGATGTGAAATTGTCAACGGCAATTACCTGGTCCGTTTGCTGTATTGTAGCCAATGTAAGCATTTGCTGTTTGGGCTTTTGGAGATGCTTTGCCAACAACTATTTGCACTGGGCAGCCGTATGTACATGGGTTTTAATGAATATACAAGGTAAGTAATGGAGTTAAAATGCAGAATGCAACATAAATTTGTATATTTTTATGCACTTTGTTGTGTGAATTAATCCACTTTTAAATGCAAGACTACAACGAAAATTCATTCTCCTAGAAAATTTCGGAAAGAGAATTGCAAATTTGTCCACGAATTACAAACTAACCTAATTTAATTTATGAATTTGTCTAAAATCATTAAAAAATTACATCGAAAGCACTGTAAGGAAAATCTAAAGTTTTGAAATGACACAAAAAAACTTCGAAACACGTAAACCTAAGATTGGGTCAGAGATTACAATATTTTTCCAGATAACGCCATTTTTCCCGAAAAAAGTTCAAACAATAACAAATAAAGAATTAATAAAATAAGAAATCTTTTGTCTTTTTTTTTAATTTAGATTAAGACTTGTTCTTTTACTAAAATTCCAGCTACTAGCGCTGAAAACCAATGGATAAACAAACAAGTTTTGAAGAGTGAAAATGTGCAATAATTTTTCGTATGAAATAGGGTCAGAAAATAATGTTACCAATACGCCACACGGCCGTACTCGAAAATACTCGTACATGGCGTATGAGTAACATTTTCCATGTTAATTTTTTATTTTTTTTTCATTTGCAATGCAAATTTAAAATCAAAAAATATCTTGTGAAAATTACCTGATCTAGAAAAATTCGTAATCTTCGTAGATTATTTTAAGTGTTTTTTGTGTCATTTTAGCGTCCCTGCATTGAAATTTAGAATATCTTGAAACCTTTGCTGAGCTGGTTGGTTGGTTAATTTGGGAAATGTGTCACCCTAGGGACAAGCAATTAGCAAATTTTAACGATTTTGGATGGCACTGTACTCCAATGACATTTGTCTTTAGTAGAAAGCTGTCATCAAGGAAGCAGTAGACTCACTGCTGAAGTGTGTGTGATGCCAGTTAGGGAAGATAGCATATCGATGGCTGAGTGGAAGATCGACCTATCTCGGCAGCCAGT